GTGAGATATAACCACTTGGAGCCAACAGCAGCCTTTCTGTACAACTGTTCTTTCCTTACCTAGGGTGGAGGATGTTTTGGGTAAAGGATAAATGACCCTGTTGGTACCCAAGTAAAACCTTCTTGATTTGCTTCTAACACCAACATTCCACCAAAAAAACTATATAAATACACGGGTATCTGTTGGAGTCTGTCTGTGGGAAGCAGCTGCACAGGACTATATTGTAGATGAGCTTGGTCTGGTGAGTATCGGTGGTCTTTAGTAAATGAATACATAAAAAAATCAAAACCACATATGGGATTGGACATAAACCCACTGTCGACTATCGTTGTTGACTGATCTATTGCTAAATGGCTTGTCAGTCTTGTCAGGCCAATTTGAGGCCTGGTTGTGTGAGCTGTATTGTTCTGGAGTGTAATAATTACAATATGGTGGAATGCGAAACATTTTTCGACACAGAACCTGCACCTTCCCAAACAAACCTTATATTGTTTTCCCCAAAAGGCCATGTTTGCTCTTCCCCCTATCTCTCGCTTGTCCGAAAAGCTCAAACTGTTAACATTGAAAAACGAGAAAAAGAAAACTGAGCTTGGTTTAAAATAAGTCAAAGAAATAATACATTTTTTAAAAAAGCGAAGAAATCATTCATTGTGGAGGCTTTTCCTGCCTCTGAGCATCATTTACCGTTTCAGCACACGACCATCTCAATCACAAACCTCTGTTTGTATGCGGTTTGTTCATGTATTTGTGTTTAGAGAAAGAAAAAAAAATGGGAAAGTGCTGTAAACTATGGTTTCTTCTGTGTGTTTCTTGTAATAAGGTTCAACTTCAAAGAAATCTTTGCACTTTGGTTGTGGTCTCTGACCTTGGTGCAACTTATTCTTGTACCACTGATCTCGGATCAGGCTTAGATTTGATCCCCGATACTGCAGAGGTGATTTGGAATGTAAAAACCTCTCTGTGGAGACCAGTCCAGCTGGCCAATGCTTTCCAATCATTAAAGCACTTTCAGACGTCTCGAAGACGTGATAAGGCGCTATATCAAATACAAGGATTATTACTGTACTAGATGTGGGGTTGATGCTCACCCAGATAATGGTGACTTGCGCCAGATGCTAAAAGGGTGATTAGTAACCATCTAATTCTAACCTAGAAGGCGGCAGATAAACTGGTCTCACTTAAAACTACAATTCAACAACAACTTGCATTTATATAAAACACAAAATACTGCATATGCTGGAAATCTGAAACAAAAATAGAGATCGCTGGGAACACTCAGCAGGTCAGGCAGCATCTATGGAGAGAGGAAAGTGAGTCAACGTTTTGGGTTCATGACCCTTTGTCAGAACTTCATCAGAGTTCTGTTAATAACCGACCCTTCTGTCCCTCTTCTTCCACTCTTTCTCTTTTATCCCTTCCCCCTCCCCCACCACCAAACCCCCGTAACACAACTATATCAAATATTATTTATTATTATATGTGTGTTGGTGTGTGTGCGTGCATGTGTTTGTCTGTTTCAGTGTGTGTGCGCGCGTGTTTCAGTGTGTGTGTTTGTGTGTACATGTTTGTGTGTACCTGTGTATGTGTATGTATGTGTGTACGTGTGTGTGTGTGTGTGTGTGTATGTGTTTATGCTTGCTTGTTTGTGTGTGTAGGTGTTTGTGCGCGTTGCCGGCTGCTGAGTGCTGCAGTAACTTGCAGTAACCTTGCTGTGCTATGGAGTCCTGCCTGGAATGCAAAAAAGGAGCGATGTTATTATAACATCATAATTCAGGTGTTTGCTTTGTCACTGCAGTGCCTTACGTCAAAATGTCTCAAAGCAACCAGGGACTTTGAAAAGCAGTGGCTGATAGGGAGGCAAACACAGCAGCCAGACGCTAACACCTCACAAACTGAATCAGATGAGTGACTGATTTTTATGGGAGTTTATTTTGAGGAACTTCGGATGAGGGAACAGTTGTTATAAGCTGTTTTGTTGTTCTTTAGATTTGAAACGCAACGGACAAATCAGGTTTGCTATATGGTTTGCAGTAACTTAGATAATCTCAGCCCCTCGCTGGGACTGGAATTCGGTCTAGGGACAGATTCGTTGTCTTAGAATTACACCACAGGAGGCCATTCAGCCCATTGAGTCTGCTTTGGCTCTCAGAGCAAGGTGGGTGGCCTTTCAACCCCACTGCCCTGCCCTATTCCCACGTGAGTATCCCCCTTCAAGCCTCTAGCTCTTGGAGTCCTATAGCTGAGTGGTTAGAGGACTCGTCTCGCAAGCGATAGACCTGGGTTTGATTCCTGGGCAGGGCGAAATCTTGGGCAAGTTCCCTTACTCCGCACACACGCCTCTTTACCAGCAGTAAGTTGCAACCCCAATTTTTAGTCGATGGGCAGATCACTTTTCCAGGTGTAATAATCCTTCAAAAATAAAAAATAATTATTTGGTCATTCAATTCATGACTCTTCGTGGGACACTGCTGTGCGCAATTGGCTCCCATGTTTTGCCCACAAAATGTACAGTCAGTTTACTTTACAGTATATCGTGTGAAGCGCTTTGAGAAGTCTCAAAGACGTGATAAGGCGCTATATCAAATGTAAGGATTATTATTTATTATTAAAACAAGGCTATGTCCTTCTGTTTAAGTGGATCCTAAAGATCCCAGGACACCTTAATAATAATAAACCTTGCATTTGATACCTGCGCCGTATCACATCGTTGAGACGCCTTAAAGTGCTTCACAGGATATATTATAAAGTGGAGTGACTGCGTATTTTATTGGTGAAACATGGCAGCCAATTGTGCACAGCAGGGTCCCACAAACAGTTGTGGATTGAGTGACCAAATTTTTTTTAAGGGGGAAGAGAAGAAAGGAGTTTCTTCTGCACGGGGATACATTCTGTGCACAAACTGGCTGCTGTGTGTTTGCCTACAAACACCCCAGCCAGCAGTTGAGATGCCACAAAATATTTCGACATTATTGGCGCTATATCAAACACAAGGATTATTATTATGATAATAATATTAGTCCAAAGGCTTAACAAGCTTAGTCAGAGAGAGGGAGACTGACTAGCTGCACTGAGAAGCTGTGAAGGAAGTGCAAGACAGAACACGATGGAACGTGTTATAAACGAAAGGTCAACACAAATGGTTGGAATGTTCTTGTTATTTGCAAATATGGAATTTGCATAATTGGATTAGGTGTTTTCACCAGAACTACTTTCCTCCTCTCTGCACTCAGCCTCCAATCCTTCCCTGGTCACTCAGCTCTCCCAAAATAGGATGTTTTAATGACTTGTGGCAGAACTGGTTTAATTGTCAATCTCATTTTGTGTGATGACTCCCTGGCGCTATGAGGACTACAATGTTGAGAAAGGAAACGTGTGCTGTGATAGTGATCGCACGGACAAAAGATACGGATCCACTAAATCTGTCCTGTTCATTGCTCAGTTCCTGAGATCACAAGAGAAGTTTGGGATGAAGACAAACATTGATTACATCCTTCCAGAATAGCCCTGTCACCTTCCTGCCATTACAGTTCCATATCCAATTGCTTCCTAAATGAGTCTACCATGCTGGCCCCAAGCACCCAAAGTGTAAAGTAATACAACAACAACAAATTACATTTGTATAGCGCCTTTCATGTCAGGGGGACGTCCAACTTGCAATTATGAAACGCCCGTCCCACAGGAATGTGTCTCGGAGCACTGCACGGTGGCGGGCTTGGAAGACCAGCAAAGGAGAAGGAGGAGATGATCATTGGCACGGTCTAAAACGTAGTGTTTTGGTGGGATTTAAAGATAAACACTTTCTGGTGCCTGCCCTAAACATCTCCATCGCACCTCTCCCCGCCCTGCTGGCATGACGTGGCTGGGAGAGGCATCACAGCTTGGCTCTCTCTCTCCCGTTCACAGCCTGATGTTGGTAACAACCACTGTTTGCCTTAAACTTTCATGATTCCTGGAATCCTGTAGCTTAGTGGTTAGAGCACTCGCCTCGCAAGCGAGAGACTTGGGTTCGATTCCCGGTCAGGGCGAAATGTTGGGCAAGTTTCCTTACTCCACACACACGCCTCTGTTTACCAGCAGTAAGTAGGAACCTGGTTGTTAGTCGATTGGCGGATCGCTTTTCCGCGGGTAATAATGCCTTCAAAAAAATAATAACAATAAATTGCCGCTGTGCGCAATTGGCTGCCGCGTTTCGCCCACAAAATACACAGTCACTACACTTTACAACGTCCTGTGAAGGAAGCGCTTTGAGACGCTCTCGGAGACGTGCTATCGAATGCGAGGATTATTGTTATTATACACAACAACGTTGTTAGAAAACGACGTTCAATTTCATTTGCAATTCACCGGATTTCATACCGTGTCCACCTGTACCCGTTCGGGGCGGCGCGCGGGCACTGGGCCATTGTCATTTCTGATCAATTCTGTTCTTGTGTTGAAGACGATTATTTTTTATGTTCCACATGTAAAAGCCCCACATGGGGCGCGGGGTAACCACGGTGACCTGACCGGCCGGGGCGGGGCGCGGGGTAACCACGGTGACCTGACCGTCCGGGGTGGGGCGCGGGGTAACCATGGTGACCTGACCGGCCGGGGCGGGGGGTAACCACGGTGACCTGACCAGCCGGGGCGGGGGGGGGTAACCACGGTGACCTGACCGTCCGGGGTGGGGCTGGGGGGTAATCACGGTGACCTGACTGGCCGGGGCGGGGCGCGGGTAACCATGGTGACCTGACCGGCCGGGGCGGGGGGGGTAACCACGGTGACCTGACCGGCCGGGGCGGGGGGTAAAACCACGGTGACCTGACCAGCCGGGGCGGGGCGCGGGGTAACCACGGTGACCTGACCGGCCGGGGCGGGGCGCGGGGTCATCACGGTGACCTGACCGGCCGGGCCGGGGCGCGGGGTAACCACGGTGACCTGACCGGCCGGGGCGGGGGGGGGGGTAATCACGGTGACCTGACCGGCCGGGGCGGGGCGCGGGGTCATCACGGTGACCGGCCGAGTTTCCGGTTCCGGGCCGCGGGTTGGGAGCCGTCGCCATGAATCCTCCTCCCGCCAAGAGGTTTAAACCCTGTCCGGGGCCGCCGCGAGGCCTCGGCCTGGGCCCCGGGTGGGAGCGGCGGCTGGAGCAGCAGCGGCGGAGCCTCCCCATCCACCAGGCCCGGCCCCGCCTGCTCAGCCACCTCCGCCTGCTGGACAGCGCCATCATCATCGGTACCCACAGCCCCGGCCTCGCGCCCATAGCCCCGGCCTCGCGCCCACCCACAGCCCCGGCCTCGCGCTCACCCACAGCCCCGGCCTCGCGCCCACCCATAGCCCCGGCCTCGCGCCCACCCACAGCCCCGGCCTCGCGCCCACAGCCCCGGCCTCGCGCCCACCCACAGCCCCGGCCTCGCGCCCACCCACAGCCCCGGCCTCGCGCCCACCCACAGCCCCGGCCTCGCGCCCACCCACAGCCCCGGCCTCAGGCCCACCCACAGCCCCGGCCTCGCGCCCATAGCCCCGGCCTCAGGCCCACCCACAGCCCCGGCCTCGCGCCCACCCACAGCCCCGGCCTCGCGCCCACCCACAGCCCCGGCCTCGCGCCCACCCACAGCCCCGGCCTCAGGCCCACCCACAGCCCCGGCCTCGCACCCACAGCCCCGGCCTCAGACCCCGGGATTCCCCTCGAGGCTGTGACTGTGCGCACATTGGCGGCTGCGGTTTGCTCCAAATACAGAGTCATTACATCTGATTGTTTTTTATACTGTGGGGATAATCTCCACACTTTAGTGGTGTGTGTGTGAGAGAGTGAGAGAGAGTGTGTGAGATAGTGTATGTTTGTGTGTGTGTGAGCAAGAGTGTGAGAGAGTGTGTGAGAGTGTGAGTGAGTGTGAGAGTGATTGAGTGTGAGAATGTGGGTGCGTGTGAGTGTGTGTGAGAGTGGGTGTGTGTGAGAGTGTGGGTGTGTGTGAGTGTGTGTGTGTGTGAGCAAGAGTGTGAGAGTGTGTGTGAGAGAGTGTGGGTGCGTGTGAGAGAGTTGCGTGTGAGACTATGTATGTGAGTGTGAGAGAGAGAGTGTGTGTGAGAGAGTGTGAGACAGTGTATGTGTGTGTGAGTGAGTGTGTGGATGGGGGCGCTTCTCACAGATAAACCCTGCATTTGATCCAGCGCCTTAACACATCGTTGAGACGTCTCAAAGCGCTTCATGAGATTTGCTGATTGCGTTTCGTGGTTGACATCTGGTTTTGGGAGGAGGAAAGGAAGTGATTCCTACGTTGGTAATCTGTTGCGTTGCCTTTGAGGTGAGACGGGATCGGGGAAGACGACGCAAGTGCCTCAGTACCTGTACGAAGCTGGGGTCGGACGGCAGGGTATCATCGCGGTCACTCAGCCCCGTCGGGTGGCGGCAATATCGCTGGCGGCCAGGGTCTCCGAGGAGAAGACAACCAAGTTGGGCTCATTGGTAATAATAATAATAATCCTTGCATTTGATATAGTGCTTTTCACGTCTTCTCAACGTCTCAAAGCGCTTCACAGAATAGACTGTAAAGTGAATTGTCTGTATATTGGTGAGCGAAACGCGGCAGCCAATTGCGCACAGCAACGACTGTCCCACAAACAGTTGTGGATTGAAGTGACAAATTTATTATTGTTAACTGGGCCAATCTGGCTTTGCCAAGCAAGGGAGAAGGGGATTTAAAGACAGATAGAGGCAGAGGAATAGAGGCAGAGTGACGGAATTTTTGGCCACTGATGGTGACGCACAAGGAGGTGGGGGCCTGAGTCGGGCGGTGGGGAGTGTGGGAGGAGAAATAGGAGATGAAAATAAGCAAAGTTCCATCTGGTTTGCCTTCTAGTTTGCCTGGAAGTCGCATGCTACTATAATCGAGATGTTGATAGGAATTAATTCTGTATGATTAGTCTACAATAGAGTGGAAAGCTTTGAGAACCTTAGATCCAAAGTTGCCTGGTTCTTCCAAGCCATATTACACCTACTCTATGTCATGGCTCAAATCACTCATACACTGTATCACAAAATATTATTGTCTAAAATAAATCATTTAATTTATATTTGAATGAATTGACAATGGTGGGTGGGGGGGATCTGCCATAGTTTCTGCTCCTGATCACTGCCCAGACTCTGTGCTGGAAGGACCACGTCTGTGTGGATGCCTTGCTGACAGCCTAGGGTTACGGAAAACTGGAACTCTCTCTCCCAAAAGGCAGTGGATTATGGCCAGATCCGTTCACATTTTCAAGACTGAGGTGGAGAGATGCTTGTTATGTCAGGGTATCAAGGGATATGGGATAAAGGCGGGTAAATGGAGTTGAGGTACAGATCAGCCACGGTCTAATAAAATGGCGGAACGGGCTTGAGGGGCTGAATGGACTCCTGCTTCTATGATGCTCACTGTTTAGGCTTAACAGTTATTCACCCCGTGAATAATGGGGTGACGAGGGGGCGGGAAGGGCTCTTCATGTGAAACATAGAACAGCTGCAGGTTCGGGAGGGGAAAAAATCTTAAAGAGGATGTGAGGCTGCGAAAGACCCCACTCACTGTGTGCCCACTTCCTTGCCCGCGCCCCAGGTTGGCTACACGGTGCGGTTCGAGGACATCACGTGCAATGAGACAAAGATTAAGTTCCTGACGGATGGGATGCTGTTGCGGGAGGCCATTGGGGACCCACTGCTGCGGCGCTACAGCGTGGCTGTGCTGGACGAGGCCCACGAGCGAACCGTGCACACTGACGTGCTGTTTGGCGTGGTGAAGGCAGCCCAGCGCAAACGCCGGGAACTGAACAAGGCGCCGCTGAAGGTGAGCCGGGGGAGTGGGCACTGCGCGTGTCACGAGCCTCAGCTGCCAATTGGCTATAATCGGTGTAATAGGCACTTGCCCGCGGTTACCAGCCACCATATTTGATTACTTCCTTTGCTCCCCCACTGTCAAGCATTCTGGGACGCTACCCTGTGTGAGGGGCACTATATAAATGCAAATTGTTGTTGTTAAAAGGTGATCATCATGTCTGCCACCATGGACGTGGACCTCTTCTCTGAGTACTTTAACCGAGCCCCGGTTTTGTACCTGGAGGGCAGACAGCATCCCATCCAGATCTTCTACACCAAGAGCTCGCAGAGCGACTACCTGCACGCAGCGCTGGTCTCCATCTTTCAGATCCACCAGGTGAGCAAGGGATCCAGGTGTGATACATACCTATAGCCGCCAGTCCTCAAAATGCTGGTGGGGAGGGGGAGATGGTGATAGGGACTTGAAAAGGAAAAATGTGCAGGGCTATGGGGAAAGAGTGGGGGAGTGGGACTAGTTGTGGGACTAGCTCTTTCAAAGAGCTGGCACAGGTACGATGGGTCGAATGGCCTCCTGTGCTGTAAGACTTTGATTTACTCTTTGTGGTTGACAGGAAGCGCCGGCCTCACACGACATCCTCGTCTTTCTGACGGGCCAGGAGGAGATCGAAGCAATGAGCAGGACGTGCCGGGAGATCAGCAAGCAGCTACCGTCGGATTCGGCAGCCATGTGGGTCATCCCGCTCTACGCCTCACTTCCTCATTTACAGCAGCTCCGCGTTTTCCAGGCAGCGCACAAGGTACCTGAGTTCTGGTAACAGTGCATTACATCAGCGTCTGTGTGTCTGTCCAGCGAGTCTGCAGCTGTCGGTACACTTACTACATGGAGTCCTATAGCTTAGTGGTAAGAGCACTCGCCTCGCAAACGAGAGACCTGAATTTGATTCCCAGACAGGGCGAAACGTTGGGCTTTGTTTACCTAACAGTAGGTAGGAACCCGATTGTTAGTCGAATGACGGATCACTTTCCGTCATTCATAATCCCTCCNAAAAAAAATTATAACTTGGTCACTCAATCCATGACGTTTTGTGGGACACTGCTGTAGCGCAATTGGCTGTCGCGTTTTGCCCTCAAAAGAATACAGTCAATTCACTTTACAGAAATATATTCTGTGAAGTGAATAAGTATGTAAGTAAAATAATATAAGTATATATAAGTATATAATATAAATAATTGTATAAGTAAATCTTTGAAGGTGGCAGGACAGGTAGATAAACTATTAAAAAAGCGTACGGGATACTAGACTTTCTAAATAGGAGGATAGAATACAAAAGTCAGGAAGTTATGATGAACCTTTATATAAAACACTGGTTAGGCCTCAGCGAAAGACTATTCAGTTCTGTGCTCCACACTTTAGTAAGGCTGTCATGGCATTGGAGAGGGTGCAAAGGAGATTGACCAGAATGGTACCAGGAATGAGGGACTTCAGTTATCAGGAGAGGTAGAGAAGCGAGGATTATTCTCCTTGGAATAGAGAAGGTTAAGAGGAGACTTCATAGAAGTTTTCAAAATTATGAGGGGATTCGATAGGGTGAACAAGGAGAAACTATTCCCACTGGTGGGTGGATTGGTAACCTGAGGACACCGATTTAAAATAGTTAAAAGAAACCGAGGGGAGGGGAGGAGAAATTTTTTCACACAGCGAGTTGTTTGGATCTGGAATGCATTGCCTGAATGGCTGGTGGAAACCGATTCGATAACAACTTTTAAGGGAGAAGTAAATAATTATTTGGGGAGGACAAGTTTGCAGGGCTATGGGGAGAGCGCGGGGGAGTGGGATTGATTTGGAAGCTCTTTTCAAAGAGCTGGCACAGACACGATGGGCCGAATGGCCTCCTTCTGTGCTGTATGATTCTATGAAGTGCTTTGAGATGTTTCAACAACATGATAAGGCACAGTATTATTACTGTATTATAAGTGGCTTCCATTGTGTCCGTTGTAATCGGCTTCGGGTGAGAGCCGGCTCCATGGGGTGAGAGGGCTGTCTGAGTTTGTATTGAGTGGGTTTGTGTTGTGGGTTTGGGTTTCGGAGGTAAGTAACCGAGTGCTGTCTGCTCTCCTCCAGGGTTGTCGCAAAGTCATTCTGTCCACAAACATTGCGGAAACCTCCATCACTATTCCAGGCATCAAGTACGTGGTGGACTCAGGGATGGTCAAAGCCAAACGCTACAACCCTGGTGAGAACAGCATGTTGGGAGAATCTGTCTCAAACAAAAATTACACATTTCACCCTTCAGAGCTCCATCCCAAAGTCTCTTCACTTCGCCCCTGCCTTTGCCTCCTTTAAGGCCCTTTTGAAGACCCTCCTCTTCGACTGTGCCTTTGGTCAGCTTCTTACCACGCACCCCCTCCCTGCTCTCCATCCCTCCTGATCCTACCCCAAGCTCGGGTGTAAATCCTTTACTGTCCAGTGCCTTAAGATGTCCTCCTGATGTGAAAAGCGCTTTGTAAATGTCATTTGTTGTTGTTTCCTATGTGTCAATGTGCGACATTTATCAATATTATCTTATGAATGTGCTTGTTGTGTAGAGAGCGGACTGGAGGTTCTGGCTGTTCAGCGTATCTCTAAAGCGCAGGCCTGGCAGCGTGCGGGGCGGGCAGGGCGAGAGGATCGCGGGCTCTGTTACCGGCTCTATACCGAAGAGGAGTTTGAGAAGCTGTTGGACATGACGGTGCCGGAGATCCAGAGGTCAGTGAACTGGCTCCCCTCTCCCCAGCATTAACACTCCCCATACTGGATTCTGTCCCCGCTCCATGGTTTTTGCTGCAGTTGCTGTGTGTGTGTGTGTCCGTGGGGGTGTGCGTGAGGGGTTGGTGTGTGAGCGCGCAAGGGGCCGGTGCGCGTGTGCTTTCAGTGTATGATGGCTGATGTCCTGTTACAGGTGTAACCTGGCCAGTGTTGTGCTGCAGCTCCTGGCCCTCCGAGTTCCCAACATCTTGACCTTTGACTTCATGTCCAAGCCATCGCCAGGTAAGGAGACGACAACGTCTGTGGTTCTCTACGGTTGTCGAGTGCGGAGTTTAGTCATCGTGGCCGGGAAATAGCCAGGCTATCTAGGCCAAAGAGAGTGACAGACACACAACTGAATGTATGATGTAAGACAGGCTATTGGTGCTCACTAACCCGGCTCGGGTGTCTGCAGGCGCTGTGAGGGCAGCTGTGGAGCAGCTTCACCTCCTGGGGGCCGTGGAGCGTCAGGACAACCAGATACACCTCACGCTACTGGGCAAGAAAATGTCAGCCTTCCCCCTGGAACCCAGGCTCTCTAAGGTAATGTGGGACCTCACCCCCTGCCCTCCACCCCACCCCCTGGGTTTATAGTTTTAATTTTATCTTTGATTAGATGGTTGCTTGTGTCTGATTAATGTGTGGAGCCTATTGGTTAGAGCACTCACCTCGCAAGCGAGAGGACCCGGGTTCACAAATATATAGCCAATTCACTTCACAGTATATTCTGTGAAACGCTTCGAGACGTTACGAAGACGTGATAAGACGCTATATCAAATGCAAGGATTGTTATTATATTATCTGCTGGTCCCTGTGGGTGGGTAGTGTTGGAGCGGCCGCCCTGAGCTGCTGTGATGTAACCCTCTCTCCACTTGCTCTGTGTCTCTCAGACCATCCTGCTGTCCCAGGACTTCCACTGCACCGAAGAGATCCTCACCATCGTCTCCTTACTGTCCGTGGACAGTGTCCTGTACAGCCCCCCGGCCAAGCGTGAGGAGGTGCAGGCCGCCCGCACCAAGTACACCTCCAGTGAGGGCGACCACATCACACTCCTCAACATATACCGTGCCTTCAAGAATGTCAGTGGACACAAGGTACACACCTCTCCCCCACCTCTCTCCCCCCAGACCCCGCCCCCCTCTTTCCCCCCCCTCCCTCTCTTCCCCCCTCTCTTCCCCACTCCTCTCTCTTCCCCCCACTCCTCTCTGTCGTGTTGATTCTAGCTCTGGTGCATTTTGCTAACAGTTATTTTAATCTTTCTTTCCTCAGGAATGGTGCAGAGAGAACTTTGTGAACAGCCGGAACATGAACATGGTGTCAGAGGTCCGGCATCAACTCCGCAACATCTGTGGGAAGGTAAAGGCTGAAGCTCTGGCCGCCGGCAACCCCGGTACTTCCAGTCAGGCTTTGTCTCTCTGATGTCTCAATCTCTCTCTGTAAACTCTCTCTGATCTCTCTATCTCTCCATCTGATCTCTCTCTCATCTCTTCCTCTGATGTCTCCTTCTGCCACTTCCTTCCCTCTGATCTCTATCTCCTCTCTCTTTCCCTTGCTCCCACCCCACGGATTCTGAAAGAAGTAAGGCAAACATTTTTCTCCTGCCGAGTTGTGTGTGGAATGAATTGTCAGCAATAGCTATTGGATCCGAGTCAGTTGAGGCATTTGAAAGGAAATCAGACAAGAATACTACAATTTACATATATATATATTTTTAAATGTAACGTCCCTTGCACAGGGTAGTTTCTCAGAACACTTCAGATAATATACTGGAGAAGGGGGCGAGAGGGTTTGAAGGAAGAACAGGGGAGTAGGATTGATGGCATTATTGGAGGAGCAAACACTATAATAAAATGGAAATATAAAATGGGGAAAATGGAGTGTAGCTCAGTGGTTAGAGCATTCGCCTCACAGGCAAGAGACTGGGTTCTATTCCCGGGTAGGGAAAGACGTTGGGCAAGTTTCCTTACTCCACATGCCTGTTTACCTAGCAATATGTAGGAACCCGGTTGTTAGTTGATTGGTGGATTGCTTTCCGGGGATAATAATCCTTAAAAAAAATACAATAATAATTTGGTCACTCAATCCATGACTGTTTGTGGGACACTGCTGTTCGCCATCGGCTGCTGACTTCGCCCACAAATATACAGTCAATTCATTTTACAGTCTATTCTGTGAAGCGCTTTGAGATGTCTCAAAGACGTGAAAAGTGATATATCAAATGCAAGGATTATTATACTTATATACTTATATATTTCAAGGATAATCCTGTTTACTCCACTTTTTTTTCCCGAAGTTGGGAATGCGGTTTGAGTCTTCCCGTTCTGACACGGGGAATATCCGCCGGTGCCTGGCCCACAGCATGTTCCTGACCACGGCCGAGCTGCAGCTGGATGGGACCTACGTCACCCTGGACTCCCGGCAGCTGGTGGCCATCCACCCCTCCTCAGTGCTGTTCCACTGCAAGCCTGCCTGCGTGCTGTACAATGAGCTGGTGCACACCTCCAGGCGTTACATGCGGGACTTGTGCCTGGTGGATCCTGAGTGGCTGTACGAGGCCGCCCCCGAGTACTTCCGCAGGAAACTGAAGGGAGGGAAGGGTTAACGCATCCGGCGGGGGTCGGGGCTGAAATCCCCAGCCTCAAACCTGCCGCTAAATGGGCTTGTCTTGCCTTACAATACTGCAGGGTTATAAATCTACTTGTGAAGTGCTTTGAGACTTATAGTTAAGCAAGGATTGTTCCAATCCTGTTGGTGTCTCTACAAGTTGCTGTTGCTGTGAAATGATTGTCGGTAGGAGAAAGAAATTGCCGGCAGCTACAAGGACCCGTTATTGTTACCGGCTTCTGTCTGCGGTGACTGGGTGTCGAGGAAGGCAAACGCCATCCACAAGCAATCTCCGGGACTGGACCTAGTGGTCGTCACCAGCGGCCATTGAATGTAGCCATCCTCAAGCGTTTGATTTTCTTCCCTTGAGGCTGAGGGCTGGTGGGTGACGTGGAGATATGTTCCTGAGGCACCAGCACGAGAGGAGATATACCAGCATAAGTGACGGCCTGTCCACGTCACTGCCATCTCCCTCAGTCAGGAAACCTCAGTCGTATCGCCAGAGGCCTGAAATTTCACTTATTTTCAACCATTTTGTCTAAAAAATTTAAGATATCACAGAATTCTTAAATTCAATTTAGATTTGAAAAGCGGGTTCTTTTTCATACCTCTAGAGATTTTCATTCTGTCAGTGCCTCAGTGTCAACTTCACACTGTCCAGGTTTCCCTCAGTATTTGGATACCAGATTTGTGAATGTACTTTGTGTACCTCAGCAGAGTATTTTTATACAGTGTTCACCGTTTCCATGTGTTTTTTTAAAATGCATTTGTATGACTCTTTGCTGATAGATAATCTTGTGCTTTAAACTTTTGGACGGGGCTTTTCAGGGAAAGCCACACTTTCTGAGTCTAATTCTGATGTTAAGACTAAAAAAAACAACTTTAGATTGAATTGTTATTAAAAGTGATCATCCTGAAATCAGCTCTTTACCTATTTGTTTTGCGAGGGAGTTTTCTCTCGGTCATTTTTTGCATGACTGGTTGTGCGTAGATTGGTTGCGATGTTTGTTGCTAGTAATTACACTTGACAGCATTTTCCAGTCAAACACTTTGAGATGTTTTGATGTTAATGGCGCTCTGTCAAGTGCAACATTATTAGACAATGATGGACTCTCATAAACTTCACTATTTGTTAAATTAACGTAGTGGAAACAGCATTGATTTATCAGTAGTGATTCCTATCTACATTATTTACATCTTAATTGGGATTAATAAGAACGTAACTGAAAAATATCTTCACAAGAGCTCAACGTTACTACAGCCATCAATTGAGAGTTGAGAAAATAAACTATTTTCTAGTAATCTTAAACCCTGAATCTTAACTTGAAGCATAGTGGTTAGACACCTCCAAGCGCGGTAAAATGGTGGGCAAGTTTCTTCACTCCACATGCCAGTTTACCTAGCAGTAAGTAGGAACCTGGTTAAGTCGATTGGCGGATTGCTTTCCTAACCCTAAGTGTAAGTACCCCTTCAAAAAATAAAAAAAAATTTGGTCACTCAATCCATGACTGTTTGTGGGACACTGCTGTGCGCAATTGGCTGCCGCGTTTCACCCACAAAATACAGTCGATTTACTTTACATTGTATCCTGTGAAGCGCTTTGAGACGTCTGGAAGATGTGATAAGGCGCTATATCAAATGAAACAATTATTATTATTAACACTGAACTTTAATAATCCATATGATGTATTGCCTTGCAACAGGTTGTCTCAAAAGTGCATCACAGCTTACTGTAAAGTGTAGTGACTGCTTTGGAGGTGAGCAGTCTTTCCCTCAGCGTGCTAACCTCTGCAGTGAGGAGAGACGGTGTGACCACAGGAAGGATTTATTGGGAATCTTTGTTATCAATGAAGGTATCATAATTCACTTTACAGTATATTCTGTGAAGCGCTTTGGGACGTCCTCCCGACGTGAAAAGCGCTATATCAAATGCAAGGATTATTATTATTATAATGATTCCTGATTAATCCTTCCTTTGGTCACACGGCCTCACAGACCCAGGCAGAAAGAATCTCTCACACAGGCACTCACAGTCTCTCACATGCAGTCACACACACAGGCTCACTCACACAAAGTCACACTCACACATACAGTGACACTCACACATACAGTGACACACAGTGTCACTCACACAAACAGTCACACACACACACACAGTCACTCACACAAACACACACATACACACAAAGTCAGTCTCACTCACACAGTCACACACATACACACAGTGTCACTCACACAAAGTCACACACAAACAGTCACACACATACACACACACTGTCAGTCACACACACTGTCACTCACACAGTGTCACTCACACAAAGTCACACACATACACACACAGTGTCACTCACACAAACAGTCACACACACAGTCTCACTCACACAAACAGTCACACACACACACAGTGTCACTCACACAAACAGTTACACACACTGTCACTCACACAAAGACACACATCACTCACACAAACAGTTACACACACTGTCACTCACACAGTCACACAGTCTCAGACACAGTCAGACACGTGGTTCCTCCAGTGGAGAGTTACTTCCGGGTCACCCCCGGAGAGCTGTTTCCGGTTCCGGTGCGAGCCCAGACATGCTGCCCGCTCTGTGCCGCTCGGTGTGCGGGGCCGCCCGCCTCGGGCTGGGCCTCCGGTCAGCGCCGCTCCTCCTGCTGCCCAGGCCGCTGGCGTCCGGCCTCAGCCCCGGCCTGCGCTGCCTGTGGAGCCTGTGCGGCCCGGGCCAGGCTCACACTCACAGGCCGCGGCTGCTCAGCAGCGCCAGGCCTCTCAACAGCGTGTCCTGCGGCTGCGGGGGGCTGCACACTGAAGGTGAGACCCCCCCCGCCCCGCCCCGGCCCCGCGGCCGGCTCCCGGGGCAGACCCCCACCCCTCAGCGAGGCCCTCCCGGCCAGAGTGACTCCCCCCACCCCCCCACAGCGCGGCCGGTGACCTTGCCAGCCAAGCCTGCCCCGCCCGCGCCGTGACCTCCCCCTCCCCGCTCCACCCCTCACCTGTGAGAGACCGCTGCCCTCACCCAATGGTCTCCCACAGCAGTTTGTCCTCTTAACCCCGGGGGGCAATCATCCCGACAAAAAAAAACCCCGATAATAATTTGGACACCTCGATCCCGGGCTGCTCGTGGGGACGTCACCGGGGGCGCAGATGCCGGCCACGTTTCGCCCCCCAAAATCCACAGTCACTACACATTACAGTATATCCTGTGAAGCACTTTGAGACGTCTCGACGACGTGATGAGGCGCTGTGTCAAATGCGAGGATTATAATAACCCCCTGTTGCTCAAATCCTTACTATTAGCACTTCCGACGTGAAAGATGAGGATAGAGCGGTGATATCACCCCCTCCCCTTCCCCCCTCCCCCCTCCTTCAACTGTTTTACCTCAGGGTCAGTACAACACTCTTGTGTCCCTTCTTCATTCCCTCTCTTTCTCCCCCGCCCCGGCCCAGGCGACAAAGCCTTTGCGGAATACCTAACGGATGAAATCAAGGAGGAAAAGAAAATCCAGAAAACCGCCGTGCTGCCGAAGCTGTCGGGCGGCTGGGACATGGAGCTAAACGGGACGGAGGCCAAACTGGTGCGCAAAATGGAAGGAGAGAAGTGAGTGAGATGCTCCTTCCGAGTCGCTCCTGTGGCTCATCTCGGCAGGCAGGAATTATCTCCCCTTTACCCCGACGTCGGAGATGTGCTGCCTTCAGCCTTAATCCCTCAATCGTCATCGGGTTCCTCAATAAGGAATCCGAGTTGCAAAGTGAGGGAGCGCTGAGTCAGAAGGTTGTGAGTTCTCCACTAACGGCTTCTCCTCCAGTCCCCGCACCGTCAAGTGTGGCGTCCCTCGGCTCTGTCCTTATCAACGTGTACATGCTCCATCTTGGTGAGGTCATCCGTAGACATGGGATCAACTTCTCCACAGCTCCACTGGTTTCCCATCACTCATAGGATACAGTTGAAGGTCCTGGTCCTCACCCTCAAGGCCCTCCACAGCCTTGCTCCCTCTACGTCCGTGACCTTACCCCTTACCAACCTGTCCGCTCCCTCCACTCAGCGGGCCGGCCTGCTTCAGGTCCCCCAACTTGCCCGCTCAACCATTGGTGAGCGGACCTTCAGCCTCTCTGCCCCCACCCTCTGAAACTCCATCTCATAGTCCCTCCGCCTCGCCGCTCCCTTGCCTCCTTCAAGACCCATCTCAATATCCTCCCCTTCGTACCTTCGGAAACCCTACTACACCTGCCCTCCACCCCTCCTGATCCCAACCCTCACCTCGGGTGTGGATCCCTAATTGTCCTGTGCCTTGGGACGTCCTCCTGACGTGAAAGGCGCTCTAAATGTAATTGTGGTTATTCAAGTCCCCCCACCAGGACTCCGAACACAATCCAGGCTGATGCTCGTGTACAATGCTGGGAGTAACCACCACTGCATTGTTGCCATCCTTCGGATGAGACGTTAAACCAAGGTCCCACCTGTGCCTATTCAGGAAAATATTTAAAGATCGTGGCGTTTGAAAAGAAATGGGAACTTCTCTCTCCCAGTGTCCTGACCAATGAGCCCCCAGGCATAATATCAGTCACTCAATTAGCTGTGTGAAAATCAGTTGCAAATTCAGCTACAAAATACAGTCACTCCACCTTACGGTAAATTCAGTGAAAGGTCTTTGCGAAGTCTTGATGATGTCATATTGAGCTGAATCATTTGCAGCAATTATAATTATTATAATGCCAGAGTTCAGTATTTGGGGTCCAATTTCAGGCTGAGCCGTTGCTGTTTCACTGAATCCACACCTTTTCCACTGTTCCCTTGTGTGCAGGATCACTGTCTCCTTCAATACCAATAACAGCATCCCCCCCACGCTGGAGGAGGAGCAGCAGCAGCAAGAAGGACAGAAGAGCGATGAGAATGAGGTGAGCGGAGGGGAGCAGTGGCAGTGAGGCAGGCTTGAGTTCCTGTGTGTGTGTGTGTACTGGGACAGGGCTCGGGCTGGGAGAAGCTGCTTTGTGGTGGTAGGTGGGGTGCAGTATGTAGTGGGAGCTTTGAAAGGGGCGACCTCGCAGAGAATCCCAACACTTATTAGCTCCAACGGTCATGTGGGAGACCTCGCTCTCCTCTCCTGCCCACAAAATATACAGTCAATTCACTTTACAGTATGTTCTGTGAAGCGCTTTGAGACGTCTGGAAGATGTGATAAAGCTTTGTATCAAATGCAAGGATTATTATAACAAATTATTTGTTTCACGTCGGGAGGTGCTGGACGAAAGCCCAAAGCGCCGGACAGTCAAGGATTTGCACCTCTGAGGTGCACTGGGGACTGAGGAGGGACCAGAGACCCTGCCCTCAGTTCCCAGCCCGCCCCCAGGACAGCTCCTCAACACCGACGAAATGAGATGAAAAATCTGCAGTGGGATTAGAAACTGCTGAGCTTTTGCCCTGCTGCCCCATGTGACTCAAGTGTGCTCCGCCTTGCCCCCTCTGTCCTCTTTTTCAAGTCCCCCCTGACTTTGACCTTTTTTTTGATTTTGACCTTGGGACATCCTCCCGACGTGAAAGGTGCTATACAAATGTAATCTTCTTCTTGTTTTTGTTGTTTTAAAAGCCAATGATTTTGTGGAGTCCTGTAGCTCAGTGGTTAGAGCACTCGCTTTGCAAGTGAGAGACCTGAGTTCAATTCCAGGCAGAGGGCGAAACCTTGGGCAAGTTTCCTTACTCCACACAGAGCCTAATAATAATCCCTCCAAAACCAAAAACAATAATAAATTGGTCATTTTCAATCTACGACTGTCTGTGGGACATTGCTGTGCGCAATTGGCTGCCGCGTTCGCCCACAAATATACAGTCAATTCACTTTACAGTGTGTTCTGTGAAGCGCTTTGGGACGTCCTCCCGACGTGAAAAGGCTATATCAAATGCAAGTATAAAATGCAGAATCTGCCTCAGAATCTGCCAACAACAAAATTACATTTATAGAGCGCCTTTCGCGTCGGGAGGACGTCCCAAAGCGCTGAACAGCCAGGTGTAGGGGCCTGAGCATGGGGGAGGGGAGGTGTAGGGATGAGGGAAGACAGAAAGGTGGGAGGGTGACCGAAGGCACAATCGAAGAGAAAGGTCTTGAGACCTTGGCCTTGAAGGAGGCGAGGGAGGAAGCGAGACAAATGTGATGGGAGTTCCAGAATGTGGGGGCAGAGAGGCTGAAAGCCCGGCCATCGATGGTAGGGCGGGTCGGGCAGGAGACTTGGAGCAGCCGGAGCCCGATGAACAGAGGGAGCGGGCAGGTTGGTAGGGAGTCAGCAGGTCAGAGAGGTAGGAGGGGGCAAGGCCATGGATGGCCTTGAAAGTGAGGACGAGGATCTTGAATTTGATCCTCTGGGGGATGGGGAGCCAATGAAGTCGGGTGAGGGTGGGAGTGATGGGGTCGTGAAGGCTGGTACATTAGAGTACATGAGCTGCAGAGTTCTGGATGATCTGCAGCTTGTGAAGGGAAGAGTTGGGAAGGCCGATGAGGAGGGGGTTCCCGTAGTTGAGCCTTGATGTGACGAATGCGTGGGTGAGGGGTGAGGCAGTGGCGGAGTCTGGCATTGTTGCCGAGGTGGTGGTAGGCAGTGCCAGTCATGACGCGGATTAAGGAGAATTAAGACATGTTTGTAAAAAGAAACTATAAAAGGATTTGGGGAAAGAGCAGGGGGTTGGGGCTGGACCGAGGGCTGGACTGAGAGCAGGGGGATGGGGCTGGACCGAGAGCAGGGGATGGGGCTGGACTGAGAGCAGGGGATGGGGCTGGACTGAGAGCAGCGGGGTGGGACTGGACCGAGAGCAGGGGGGTGGGGCTGGACCGAGAGCAGGGGGGTGGGGCTGGACCGAGAGCAGGGGATGGGGCTGGACTGAGAGCAGCGGGGTGGGGCTGGACCGAGAGCAGGGGGGTGGGGCTGGACCGAGAGCAGGGGGGTGGGGCTGGACCGAGAACAGGGGGGTGGGGCTGGACCGAGAGCAGGGGGGTGGGGCTGGACCGAGAACAGGGGGTGGGGCCGGACCGAGAGCAGGGGGGTGGGGCCGGACCGAGAGCAGGGGGTGGGGCTGGACCGAGGGCTGGACTGAGAGCAGCGGGGTGGGGCTGGACCGAGAGCAGGGGGGTGGGGCTGGACCGAGAGCAGGGGGGTGGGGCTGGACCGAGAACAGGGGGGTGGGGCTGGACCGAGAGCAGGGGGGTGGGGCCGGACCGAGAGCAGGGGGGTGGGGCCGGACCGAGAGCAGGGGGTGGGGCCGGACCGAGAGCAGGGGGGTGGGGCTGGACTGAGAGCAGGGGGGTGGGGCCGGACCGAGAGCAGGGGGTGGGGCCGGACCGAGAGCAGGGGGGTGGGGCTGGACCGAGAGCAGGGTGGGGGGGGCTGGACCGAGAGCAGGGGAGTGGGGCTGGACCGAGAGCAGGGGAGTGGGGCTGGACCGAGAGCAGGGTGGGGGGGGCTGGACCGCGAGCCGGCACAGGGCTGAGGCGCTGCTTTCTGGGCTGTGAAACACTACGATTCCATGTGCACACGTGGGCACACGTCACAGGGCAGTGATGGGTTTGGTGGCACATGTCACAGGGCAGTGATGGGTTTGGTGGCACATGTCACAGGGCAGTGATGGGTTTGGTGGCACACGCTGGGACTTTGCTTCCTATCTGAAAGCAGAAAAAGATGGGTTAAAGGTTTGTGCTGAGTGAGACCGGTTGTCTTGTGCCTCTCTGCCATTCACAGAGTTCCCCTGGTACCGGCACTGTGCTTTGTGCTATAGTTTTGCCTGAATGGCTGAACTCTGCTGGATGTGATGTGATGTGACGTGAAGGAGAGGCGGTTTGTTTACTTACTGTTGCTGGATTCACTGACAACTGTCTGCCGCCTTGTAACTGAATGAATCCTGTCTGTTCCGTTACAGCCTGAAATCGTCTCCACGCCTAACTTTGTTGTAGAAGTGACTAAGCTGTCCGGCAGCCAGAACCTGGTGTTTGACTGTCATTACCCCGAGAGTGAGGTGCGTGTGATGTGCCGCCAGTGTTTATGTACAGCCGTTTGTAGCTGTTTCCCCGCGACGTGTGGAGGGAGTTTGTGGTGTGACCTCACAGGAAATGTTCAGATCAAGACAACCCTCTCTGCAACTCCGACCTCATTCTTCCACAATTACCCACCCTTCCGCCTTCCCATTCCAGCATTAAGCATCTCCTTAAATTAGTCCCTGTGCCCTGCCTCGCCTCAACCCCCTTCCCACTGAACCGTCCCAGCTCTCAATTCCCCTCCAGCATTTCCTAGTTTTTGTCCTAATCTCTGCCCCACCGCCCCTTGTCTGCCACACCTGAGCCCTCCTTTTGAAATTCTAAAGATACGATTTGGGGACAAAGGTAATTAGATTTCATTGTTCGTGCTTTGTTTTTTGTTAACAACATACTTTAAAATACTTGCTCTTCCAAAGAGCCGGCACAGGCATGATGGGCCGAATGGCCTCCTCCTGTGCTGTAATATTCTATGATTCAATGAACAAGAATTTCGCACATATCAAACAGCAGAAACGTCATATTTAAAGGCTGCTGTTTGTTCCCCAGCAGCGGGTTTGCTCAATGACACTCGCAGTTCCTTGTCCTGTCCCCATGGCTCTGACCCCATGATTGTTGTCTCCAGGTGGCACATGGCGAGGAGGATGATAGTGACATCTTCACCATCCGCGAGGTCAGCTTCCAGCCCATGGGAGACACTGACTGGAAGGAGACCAGCTACACACTGAACACAGACTCGCTGGACTGGGTGAGTGTCACACTAGGTGTGTTCCATAGAGGGACTGGGTGTGTGTTTAAACAAGGAATGTTAACAGGGAAGGCTATTCAGTCCATGAAGCCTGCTCTGCCACAGACCATTCCCTGTGAGCTACACACTACCCCTTCCCCTAATCCCATTTCCCTGACATCTTCTTTAATATTTCTATTCCCAGAGTACACGTCGATCTTTTTCTTAAATCCCTCGATTGATTTTATTGTCACATGAATGGTTTTTCGGGACAGCGTCTTACAAAATCTTGCCACTCTGATTAACATTTGATTCCAGCTTCTGCACAGTTTGGGTTTTATTACGAGCCTCTGTTGAGTCACGGACACTAACTCGGCTCCACTTCCCGCAGGCTCTGTACGACCACCTCATGGATTTCCTGGCTGATCGGGGGATTGACAACACCTTTGCTGACGAGCTGATGGAGTTGAGCACTGCTTTGGAACACCAGGAGTATATCAGGTTCCTGGAAGAGCTGAAGGGGTTTATTAAGTGCTGATAGCTTAACACACCTGATCCTTTACATCAGTGTTTTGATGATAATTTAGATGGAACCATGATGGCAACATCCGTCTCTGGACTTTCGCTGTAGTTTTTGTACAAATGTATTCTCCAATTACTTTTCTGAACGGTTCTGTGTAACTTAACGTTCCCCCTCACCCTTCAGTACGAGCTGCTTGTGTGATGGAAGTCTTGAGGATTATAAGGCAATCATGGAAGTGTTCAACCCAATGAGTGTGGACATATGTCTCTCCGTCTACCTGTCTGATTCGCACTGTGTTCTGTAACACAGCAAATACAGATTGTACAAAAAAAGCCAGAATAAATGAGCGAGAATCACAAACACAACACACTGATCGGTTATTGAGGAGAGGAGCCTGGACTGCTCTGTGCCTATTAACGGATGCCTTTTTTTTAAGAGTTGTTGCAGTTTCTACCCAAGGTTACGAGTAAGATTTCATCTCAGTGGTCAGCTATTGGCACATCTACTACAATGGCTCCTTTAACTTCGTAGAATTGCATGATTGCCTCTTGAGATCAAAGCCATTTCTGTATCCAGTAGCTCGTTAACATCTGTTAAAAGCCTGGAGCCAGGCTCAAGCCCACTGATGTAAATAATTTTTATTAGGTGCAGAAAGCATATCACACCATCTCTATTCAACAGTAACTTGTCACTGATACAGAATACCTAGTGGCCAAGGATGCGATTACTGTGTTTGCTCCTGTGTTGTGAATGTCCCTCAGAGACCAGTTCCCAGCCCCATTGCTCCCAGGAGACACAAGCACCGTTATCAGTGGCTGCTTCCGACCTGAACGTTCCAACTTTCCCCAGGTAATGCCAGATCCCAGGCTGAGCATTGCTGTGCCTCGAGTCTGGTCCCAGACACTTCACTTCATGCTATGTGTGCGTTTACTCCTGGGAATAAATACTGGAGGCAGCTCACACTGAATTAACTGCTCCCAGCTCGCTGCGAGTTTGTATTTGTCTCAAGTTAGTTACCACTCTATCTGGTCAGGTTAATTTCTCACCAGCTGATGCCTCTCGCGCACGCCATAATTAAATGGAGGTGATCAGGCAGGTGAAGCTGACAGGTAGGGTTATGCTCCATTCCCTAAGGGTAATAGGTCCTTCTGTACAGCCTTGTAATCTGATTACAGGAGAAATGATCTGCATTTATTGAGTGAGCAGCATAACCTGAGCCACGGCTTTTCAACACAAGGTCAGACGCACAGCTCCCAGCAGATTATTTATCCAATTTTGTTCATTGCAATCTGAAAGGCCTTTAAATTATAATCCATTTTATTTACTCGAAATAATCAATCCGGCTGTGCTTTCCAATAGTATCCCAATTAGAAACTCGATTCCAAGTCTACACACACAAAAAATAATTTTAATATATAATATAAAATAAACAAAAACACAATTGCACTGGGAATTGAAGTACAATCCAGGAGTGGGTGGGTCCTCCCTATTTGGCGGTTACTCTCGTTCCAGCTCGGGGCGATGACAGGCAGTTACAGGAGGATGGACAGGAAATCACAAGCCTGCAAACAAAAGTGCTCCGGCTTTAGAACCTTTTACACTGCACTGCGATACAACCTTTATCGTGCGCGTGTGTGTAAAAATTTGCTGTCTTTAAATCAAAAGTAGAGCAATACATGTCTACGGTGTGAGCTCAAACCAACTTCCGGCATTCTGTTGGGGTGCAAGACTGTGGATCTCTTAACACGTCCAGCTAGCGAGCTGAGATTTCGCAGCAAAACTCCGGCATTCACACCCCGTCCCCGTCCCCCGTCCCCACATACATACAACATTCAGCAAACTGCCAGCTCGCCCGATCAGTTATCAATTGTGGCTGCCAAACCCAGTGACCGTGTCAATCTGCTCCACCCACCTGACAGCTCATGAGCAGCACAGGTTTGGTATCTGTGCTGTCTGCTACTGAGAAGCTCGGCTGACACATGCACCGATTGCTGTGCTCCGTCACTCCGCGCTCCAGCACTGCTCGAAGCTGTTGTGTCGTCATGTTCTGAGGGACAAACTCAATACATCACACCCTGCTCACTGACACTGACAAGATAGCAGGGAATGGGACTATCATAGTGAGCTCAAGTGGGGAAGCAAACATCAACACACAGACTTGATGTGGAGAGAGAAAGGGAATGGGATTGGCGAGCTCCAGTGGAAAACTAGATCTAGCACTGGGTTGAATGACAACAACAACAAGATTTCATTTATAGAGCGCCTTTCACGTCGGGAGGACATCCCAAGGCGCTGGACAGTTGGGTCGGGACCCGAGCAGGGGGAAATGGTCAGGGTGAGGGAAGGGAGGGAGCGAGGAGGGGGAAATGGTCAGGGGGAGGGGAGGGAGCGAGGAGGGGGGAAATGGTCAGGGTGAGGGGAGGGAAGGGAGGGAACGAGGAGGGGGGAAATGGTCCAGAGCCTCGGGGCTGAGAGGCTGAAGGCCCGACCACCGATGGTAGGGCGGTTGGGGCGGGTGACGTGGAGCAGACCAGAGCCAGAGGAACGGAGGGTATCGGTAGGTAGGTGGGCGATAGTAGGTCGGAGAGGTAGGAGGGAGCGAGGCCGTGAATGGCCTTGTAGGTGAGGATGAGGATCTTGAAATTGATCCTCTGGGGGATGGGGAGCCAGTGGAGGTGAGCGAGGGCGAGGGTGGGAGTGATGTGGTCGCGGTGTCTGGTGCGGGACAGTACACAAGCTGCAGAGTTCTGAATGACCTGCAGTGTGGAGGGAGGGCCGGGAAGGCCGGCGAGGAGAGAGTTCCCATAGTCCAGCCTTGAGGTGATAAAGGCGTGGACCAGAGTTTCAGCAGCGTGGAGAGAATGACCTCCATCACAACTGAAAAACATGCGTTGAACAGTGAGTTGCCCAATTCCTGAGAGTCCCACACGAGGTTTCACTGGTGCTGATACCTGACAGCGAGCTCACAGGCAGCAAGTCTCCAGAGAGCATTCAGACAGGCCTTTGGGGAGGGCTGGAAAATGATTAATTTTATTGAAAGCATCTTGATGATACACAGCCAAACTTACCCAGGTATCAATATACATTCCACACGTGCAAGACACACACTCGTTGGTCACGTGCATATAGTTCCTGTGAAACAAAAATTACATTAGATTAACAGTATGTCTTTTTTTTAACTGAAACGCATCCACGGAATGAGAGTGTACTGACCCACCGACCAATCCAATACCCAGCCTACCAGCTCTCTATTCCCTCGCCAATCACCCCCCTGAACATTTTTGTTTGTTGAATGAAAGTTATTGAAAGTTATTAGCCATAAATCCAGCAGGTGGGCCAATTCCAACATCCAGTACTCACCCGTTACACACAGGGCATATAAGCCTGTCATTGACCTGAAAGTCTTCAATAACTGCATTCAAACAGGCTTCATCAAAACGCAGGCTGGCCTCGTACTCCTCTCGGGTGGCTTGTTCTGCAGGAAATGCAGCAGAAACAATGTCTCAGTACAGGGATTGTCAAAAAAAAGTTTGTCAAGTGAGTTCTGTGGAGACACACCTGGTGAAGCCAGGGGAGGACTGCAGTGAGATCTGGCTGGTGTAGACATAATAATACTTGCATTTGATAAAGTGCCTAGAACTTTGGAAACAGCTGAAATGGCTTTGAAGGCAATTTCTGATGTGTGGTTACTGTATCTGAAACACACACAAGGTTCCAGAAACAGCCATGAAGGGACTAATTCATCTGGAAGATTTTTGGACAGGTCATAGGGGAGTGAAAGGAAGTGTTTATTTTCAAAACCTTCTGCGATGAGCTCCTGTTGAATCTCTTCCAGTATTGTCAGGTCACTTTCATCTTCCAGCATATCCAGCACCTGGGTAAACAACCAAAACAACATGTGTTATTACTGCAGGGCTCCAGTCAGCTCAAAAACAGAACCAGAGGAATGGAAAAAATATTTCATTCTTATACATGATGAGTGCTCCAAGACACTACCGCAAGTGAAGAGTGCAAATTGTATAATTGTCCCAATTCAGGCATCAATTTTTTAAAAGCAAAATATACTTGTATGAAATGCTACAGTCCTCTAAAATGATTCTCTTCATTGAGAAGCTAGCTTTAGCTATTGAGGCAAACCATTAGCTTCAACATAACCCAACAGAAATGGTCGGCTGCCAACTAACCAAAAAGAATCCTATAATCAAAGAATATTACAGCACAGAAGGAGGCCATTCGGCCCATCGTGCCTGTGCCAGCTACACAATCAGTCCCACTCTCCCGCTCTTTCTCCATGATTCGTCAAAATACGTAATCGTACACTGACCTCAGCAAATGACGGGAGAGCTCGGTCCTGGGATGTCAAAGCTCTCCATTCTTCTTCCATCACCTCTTGTACAAGAAGTGGTCCGTTGAGGCTACGGACTGAGTCCACTTCCACATGTCGGTATTGCTCCAAAAACTTTGCTCGGTTGTTCTTTAGCCTTTCCATACATCGCTGGCAAGCAGATGTGGGAATAGATTTGGGGCAAAAACAACAACAAAATAACATTTATAAAGTGCCTTTCACGTCGGAACAACGGCCCAAGGCGCTGGACAATCAGTGTCCGAGCTGGGGATTGGGATCAGGGAGGGTGGAGGGCAAGGGGTGAGGCCAAAGGCACGGTCGAATAGGAGGGTCTTGAGACGGGTCTTGGAGGTAAGAGGGGGGCGAGGCGGAGGGGCTGTGGGATGGAGTTTCAGAGGGTGGGGGCACAGTGACTGAAGGCTCGCCCGCCAATGGTGGGGTGGGGGATGTGGAGCAGGCCGGAGCCCGCTGAGCGGAGGCAGCGGATGGATTAGTAGGGGATTAGCAGGTCGTAGAGGTAGGGAGGAGCAAGACCATGGAGGGCTTTGAAGGTGAGGACCAGTATCCTCTGTGTGATGGGAAGCCAGTGGAGTCGGGCGAGGATGGGGGTGATAGGGTCACGGAGCCTGGTGCGGGAGAGGACAAGGGCTGCAGAGTTCTGGATGATCAGCAGCCTATGGAGGGAGGAGTTGAGGAGACCGACGAGCACGGCATTGGCATAGTCGAGCCTGGATACAATGAAGACATGTATGAGGGTTTTGGTGGCCTGAGGGGTGAGGCAGTGGTGGAGTCAGGTGATGTTGTGAAGGTGGGGAAAAGCAGAGTGCGTCATGGCACCGATGTTGGTCAGAAAGGACAGTTGAGGGTCGAACAAGACACCTTAGGTTCCTGAATGGCTTAGCAAGGTGGAATGTGCATCCATGGCTACTGATACTGTCAGGGCCTGAGGTGAGGAGGCGCTGACGGGAGCCAATCAAGAGAGCCTCAGTCCTGCTGACGTTCAACTGTAGAAAGTTCGCTCTCATCCAGGACTTGACAGACATTCTGTCAGAACAGCAGTGGGGCCTGGAATCCAGGGTTGAGGCAGAGAGATAGAGTTGGGTGTCATCCGCACACATGTGCAAGCTGACGCCATGTAAGTGACAGCGAGTACAGGCAGACGCCCAGTCACACGAGTACAGGCAGACGCCCAGTCACACAAGTACAGGCAGACGCCCAGTCACACAAGTACAGGCAGACGCCCAGTGACAGCGAGTACAGGCAGACGCCCAGTCACACGAGTACAGGCCTCAGACTCAGCTCCGTAGGGAGGAAACCCCGCTCACCTTCCTGTACGTCTCTTTCCAGGGTGGCGGGCTGCTCTTGTACAGAGCCTGGCGCCTCCGGGCCGCCTCCATGTTTCCCTCAAACCGCTGCAAACTTAAGAGAGCCGCGCGGCCCCTCCGTCACCCTGGTTACCGCCGGCAGGAGAGTGACTGCGCAGGAGCCGCGCGCTGCCACACGGGAATTGTTAACCTTCCACACGCGGGCGAACGGCAACCCCCGGCATACATGGCGGCGAGGGATTATGGGAAATGGAGGCAAAGTCGGGGCTGTGTGTAAGGCTCTGGGGGGGACGGTGGACTACAGTACCCGGCATGTCACGCATGACACAATGCGCCTGCATTGTGGGTGAGGGAGTGCGGGGGGGGAGGAGGAGCAGTGCACCATGGTAGTTGTAGGCAGTGGGCGGGAAGGTGGACTACAGCTCCCGGCATGCCCCAGGCGGTTTGAAGATGGCGGCGGGCGGCGAGCGCTGGTGGAGTGCGCTGCCTCAGCACGATCTCCTGAACCGCCTGAAGGAGGCCCACGGCCCCGCCGCGAAGCTCGACAAGAACCTCGTCTTCTGCCTGGACGGGGACTTCTTCATCTGGGATGACGCGCAGAGCGTCTTTTACACCAGCAACCTCAGGGGCCTAAACGCTGGCGCCGAGGCAGCGGAGAGCAGTTACCAGGTAACCGCGCTCGCTGGGCCCTGACCTCCTGACCTACTGACACACAGGGAAACCCGTCACTGTGGCTTGAGAGTCTCCGACCCAAACTGAGAACTCCAGCGTCCCACCTGCACATGGCGATCCCAGGGACAGAATGCGCGCTGTCCCTGTAGTGTAGGGACGCGTCCTGCTTACCAAGTTCCAGGGAGTATTAGGCACAGGTTGGTAAGAGCCAAGGCTTGGGGACCCCCAACCCCAGAGCGGGCATTGGGGTAACGGCTGGAGTCTAACCCGCTAAACCCACACAGCTTCCCACTCACTGTCTGTCTGTCTGTCTGTCGGACTTCCTTGTTGTCCGGTCAGCGGGGACTAAAGACGTAAGAATTGCTACACGAAAGGAGACCGAGATCCATCCAGATTGCGTTCCACCATCCTGGCCGTCGCATTCACACGTCATATCTCAAATTATATACCGTATCCCGAGATATTATTTCCTAACAGAAATCTGTCTCACTTGTTCTTGAAAATAATCCAACACTTTCAGCTTCCGCCATCTCACTGGGGAGCCTGTTCCATATGTTTACTCCTTGCTCACTGAAGTAATGTTTCCACAGGTTTGTTTTGATCTTAACCCCCTTCAATCGCAGGCCGTGTCCTCCGGTCCTACTATTCAGTACAACAACTTGCACTTACATAGCGCCCTCCACGCAGGGTAGCACCTCAGAGCACTTAACAGTGTCGGAGCCTGACTCCGAGCCGGGGGAGGTGGCCGTAAGCACAGTCAAAGAGGAAAGTTTTCAGGCGGGACTTGAAAGAGGGGAGAGAGAGGGGGCATGGCGAAAGGGATTAAGGCAGAGTGTTCCAAGTTTCGGGACACAGTGGCTGAAAGCACAACCTCCAATGGTGGGGTGGAGGGTGTGAAGGCTGAGCAGGAAGCCGGTGTCTAACCCGGACAAGGCATATGGATGCTATGTCTCCAGGGTATCAGCGAGGACAAACCAGCTGCTAATAGTTTGTGGGAAAGAAGATTGGAATTCGTGCCCTAAGTTTCCCAATGTTAGTCTAGGTACAGTAGGTTTTATGCCAAACCCAAGGCAAAGAAGCCAGTCTATTCCTAACTATAATGATGGAAGAAGAAGGGGAGATACCACCCTAATAGATCAGTCGCACTCTCACCTCCGAGGCAGGAGATTGTGGGATCCAGCACTTTGATCTTGCAGATGTGCTGATGCTGTAGACATGTAGTCGGAGGCGTCTCAATGACGTAATAAGACGTTATGTCAAATGCAAGTATTTTTATTATTATTAAACTGAGGTCCTGCCTGTGCCCTGTTCAGATGAAGGTTAAATAGCACTGTTTGATAAGACACGGGAGTTTCTCCTGCTGCCCTCTCTTTGGTGGACAAATAATAATAATACTTGCATCTGTAATAGCACCTAATCATGACTTCAAGATGTCTCAAAGCACTTCACAGAATATACTGTAAAATGAATTGACTGTATATTTTGTGGGCGAAACGCAGCAGCCAGTTTTGAACAGCAACAAATATTTATTGTATTGAGCTTTATTTGTTGCTGTTTACCCATTCGTCCCACAGATATTATTATGCATAAACCCTCCCCTGTTTGAAGTTAACAAAGTTTTGCTCAGCTCGACGCAGCATCATGTGCTACTTATTGGAACCAAAGGGCTGATGGTGTTGGAACTGCCACAACGATGGGGGAAGAGGTCAGAGTTTGAGGGCGGAAAGGTCAAGATTAATTGCCGGTGAGTCAGGACACATTTTCGTTTCATGAGTTGAATTCTTGCATCTTTGAGAGATCATTGTGGTGTAGAGACTGAATTGAGTTCTTTGTGTTGCCAGAACGGTTCCTGTAGCAGAAAGATTCTTTACTAGTTCAACATCACTGACTCTGAGACATGCTGCCTGGTATCCCAGTGAATCAGAGGAGCCTCATATTGTGCTCCTGACCTCTGATAACTGCATCAGGTAACGTACCTTTTTCACATGATCCAATGTGATTCCACCAGTTGTATTAGATTCATGAAATGACTTTTATTCCCTTTGCTTCCGATAACATTCACATCATATGAATCCCATTTTGCGAAGTGATTCGAGATGTACTTTTGTGAAAGGTGCTGTGACATTAGATTTTGATAGGTCTGGAGAGAGCAGGAGAAACACATAACTTCACTTAATACTGCGTTAACAATGTGCGTAAGCCCCATGTTGCAGCAGTAAAAGCTCTCCGAGATATGGGGGAGAAGGTGAGATTTGTGGTCACTCCTTTAGAACAACGAAAACCCGAGTCTTTAACAATGTCTAATTCATCTTATTTTGTTCCTCAATAGGTTCTACAATCTGAAGAGACCCCAGACTCCAGTGAAGGTGTTCTGCCTCACTCAGAGTGAGGAGGAAAGCATTCTGCCGACCACACGGTAAAAATGCACGCTAACCATACACCGTGCCGATTTTATTCTTATTATAAAAATGCTTTCTCTCATAACACCAGGAGATGTCAGATCTATATGTCTAAAAGTTTCTATTTTAATAAAATATTAGGGAGTACTATTTATTTACTAAGGGTTTTGTCCTGTTTCTGTGCAGTTCGTACACAGCGTCGCTGGGAGAGACAGCAATTGCATTTGACTTTGGTCCTGTGGGATTGGCTCCAGGACAGCGGTTCAAAGAGGAGGTGCAGGTCCACCCGCTCTACATTCTCTACGAAAACGGGGAAACCTTTTTGATGTACATCAGTCTCACCCACATTAGGTAATGTCTCGTGGATATATGATTAGTGAGCAGCATAAATATGGGGGAGAAATTGGGTGGAAAATGTCACCAACAATCTGCCGTTTAATGGCATATCATTTACAAGAGGTAGTCGATTCAGCCTGGTGAGCCTGTGGCATCATCTTTTAGCCCCCGAATTTAATGTCTTTAATTCCTATTTCCATTTCTTTCATATCTTAACACTCTTGCTTTCCAAGTATCTATCTCTCTGTCTGCCATTGCGCTTCTGCGCAGGTGAGTGGGGGAAAGCCGGGTAAATGGGACTCAATGAATTGTTCCTGCAAAGAGCGGCACACACACACAATGGGCTGAATGGCATTCTTCTGTGCTGTACTTTTTGGGGGTTAAACATTGAGTGTGTAGTTTTAACCCTTGTGCACCAGCTTCTGATTACCCCAGCTCTGTCTCTTGTGAGCTGAGGATCTTGTTGTCTGTGTGAAGTGACTATGACATTGCCTTCCTCTGTCCTCCTAGCACTGGCAGTATTGGGAAGTTACTGGGACCTCTGCCTATGCACCCAGCCGCAGAGGATAACTACGGCTATGATGCCTGCGCGGTGCTCTGCCTTCCCTGTGTCCCCAACATCCTGATTATTGCTACAGAGTCCGGCATGCTGTACCACTGTGTAGTTCTGGAGGGGGATGAGGAGGAGGAGCAGACGGTAAGATAGGATAACTGTGTGTGGGGGGGGAGGGGTTACAGCTTCTGATACATATATCATACTGTACCACGGGGATATTCATTGAAAGTTTACTTGTGTGTTGGCCCTAGTCCAGTGAATGCTGGGACCCGAGGTTGGAGACGGTGCCCTCTCTCTATGTGTTTGAGTGCGTGGAACTGGAATTGGCTCTGAAGCTGGCGGCTGGGGATGAGGACGATGAGCCTCACAGCTGGACTTCTCCTGCCCCATCAGACTGCACAAAGGTACGCTGCGGATCCCGCTTGCACCCATATGGAGGATATGTCGGGGGTTTATTGTGCGCATATAAAGTCCCAAATGATATCTGTCTCAGTACAGTCAGTGGGGTGGCCGAACAGCGAGTGTGTGGAGTTAGGCCATCCCACTGATTGTGCTCTCTCCTGGTTTCCTTGCAGATCCGCTGTGTCCAACACGATATCACTGCACCCACACGGCTGGTGTGCACAGTGTGGGACTGACCTGGGTCAGCAAACTGGAGAGGTTCCTCAGTTCAGGTAGGTCTAATAGGCACAAACAGTGGGAGCGAATGCTGTTGTGGCAAGCCTTGTGAAATGAAATGGGTGATACAGATACACCTCAACATCATTTGTTAATCACTGCACGTTTGTGTTTCGTTAGCTATACGGTATCTGAGGTATTGGCTATTTCCGAAAGCTGGCAAAGTGGGGAGAAATGTCAGAGTGTGGATTGGCCAGACCTGGTGAACATTCAGAAAGTGGAAGTTTGCCTTTCCCACCCCTGGTGAAACCATTACTAAGTTAATAATAATAGTTGCATTTGATACAGCGCTTTATCACGTCATTGAGATATCTCAAAGTGCTTCAAAGAATATACTGTAAAATGAATTGACTGCGTTTTGTGGGCGAAACACGGCAGCCAGTTGTGCACAGGAGTGTCCCACAAACAGTCGTGGATCGAGTTGTTATTTTTTGAAGGGATTATTATCCCCGGGTAGTAATCCACCAATCAACTAACAACCAGGTTCCTACTCACTGCTAGGTAAACAGGCGAGTGGAGTAAGGAAAAAGTTAATATATCTGTGCGAGCTGCTGGGTGTGAGTTTGATGGGTTACGATCTTGTGTCTCTCTCTAGGTGAAGAGGATAGAGACGGGCTGCAGGAGTTGGCAGCTGATCAGAAATGCATTGTGGAACACATCCTGTGCACCAAGCCTCTGCCCTGCAGGTAGCCGTCCTCATTACTCACCATTTCAACACTGGTTTGTAACCGATTTTCAGAGGGTAAAAGGTTCATCCCCTGATTGGTGAATCAATCACAGTGTCAACAAACTCAGGAATGCCACTGCAGTAGTTTACTAGAGAGTTTGTCTCAGTGCAAGCGATGCCATGGCCACATCAACCTGGCTGATTGTGGTTCTGTTCTGTAACTTCACAGCAGTCCTGCGCCCATTCAGGGATTCTGGATCATCTCCGACCTTTCCCTGGGAGCTGCAATGATTTGTATAACGGATTCATTCGAATGCATCATAAGACCATTGTTGTGAGTACTTGTATGACAAACCCCATAAACTTAGTAATCATTTGCATATTTGTAGTGCCCCTGAGGTCAGTTGCTGTAACTGAGTAATAATAATTCTTGTATTTGATATAACTTTAATACCTTATTGTTTCGTTGAAACATCTCAAAGCAAAAAGAACAGACTTGTGGTGAGACTCGTATTTCTTGTCACCAATCCTGGGTTCTGTTCAGTGGGATCCATTCACTGTCTATGTCTCCTGATAGTAGAGCTAAGGTAGCATGCAGTCAATGGGAAGAATGTGCTTGTGCTGCTTTGCCCATCTCTTTGTGTGATCTGTTGCCTTGCTGTGTGTTGGCAGGAGCACTACACGCCCCACCTCGCCGCCCCTACTGATATCAAAGGCAGAGACAGATTTCATGGCCTCGCCGCTGCGGAATTTTACGGACAATTCTTTCGAGCAGCACATCGGGAACATTTTACGGCGGAGTTCCACCAACCCTCTGCTCCTGAGGTACAGAACATCTTTCTATCCCTGTGTTTTCATGCACAGATGAATCATGCCACATGGGAATTCAGCACCAGATGTTCCTATAATCTCGCTCTCTCTCTGTGCAGGTCCTCTGATGCGGAGGGTGCTCCTCCACCACAGGAATGTTTGCAGCTTCTGAGCCGAGCCACACAGGTCTTCAGAGAGGAGTACATCCTCAAACAGGCCCTTGCACGCGAAGAGATAGTGCGCAGGTGAATTGGTCTCGCAAGGGTGACTGACTGTGTTTCTGCTGCTAACTGTGCAGCGGTCAGTCTTTGGTCTTGCACCTCCTAGGTCTGTGACCTATTAACACCTTACCAACCTGTCCACTCCCTCCACTCTGTGGCACTGACCTGCACCATGTCTCCCGCCCTGCCCACCCCACCATCAATCGGACCTTCAGCTTTTCTGCCCCACCCTCTGGAACTCCATCCCGGAATCCCTTTGCCTCGCCCTTTCCCTTACCTCCTTCAAGGCCCGTCTGAAAACCATCCTCTTTGATTGTACCTTCGTCCACCCTCCATACCCTCCACCCCTCTTGATTCTAACCCCCAGCTTGGAGGTAAATCCTTAACTGTCCAGCGCCGTGAGATGTCTTTCTGAGAGCGTGGGCAAACCAACCACATAGGCTCTGAAGTGATTTGAGTTACTGGGGTAAAGCAGATTTGTGCTCAGACGTATTTATTTGATTATCATTGACAGAGTGAAGCTGCTGGGCAGCCAGAAGGAGAAGCAGCTGGACGATCTGCAGCACTGCCGCGAGGAGAAGTGAGTACAGAGCGTGTGGGTGTACTCCTCATTGTAATAATAATAATAATAATAATGATGCCTAATACTCTCCTGGCTAACAATCCCCAATAAAATTGGTCACTGGTTTCATGCTTGTTTTGGGGATATTACTATGCGCAATTGTGCTGCCACATTTGCCTATAAACATAGTTACTCCATTTCACAGTAAATAGTGTGAAGTGCTTTGAGACATCATTCCGACGTGATACAGTGCTATATTAATTTCACGGATTATTATTATCTCTAATACTGAGAGGTCTTTGTGCGGCATGAGCTGGGTGACAATATGTATATACAGACACACTCACATCTCACTGGTTTTTGAGAAGTCATTTGTGTCCAGAGGATTGTACAGAACCATTGAGCCCGAGCTGTGTCTCACTGCAGCCCCCACTGGCCTTAGATCCAGCTCAGGCCTCGGGGATACGGCTTCACTTTCCTTGGTTGAATGGAGCTGGTTTAATTTGGTTTAGCAGTTAACGCCAGCAGCAGCTTCTAAAGTCTCTGATCTCAATCCTGCTCATCAGGAGGAGTCTGCGAGAAATGGCCGAGAGGCTTGCGGACAAATACGAGGAAGCGAAAGAAAAGCAGGAGGACATCATGAGCAGGTACGAGAAATGTAACGTCTTAACAGCTGTTTTTCTTCCCTGTTCCTCTGTGTGTTTTCTCTGTATAAAGTGGGTGGGTGTGAAGCGCTCGGGATGTTACCCGCTATATAAATGCAAGTTGTTGTTGTAGTGGGTGCATGGTGTGGCTGTCACCTTGATTCAGAGGGTCGCCCGCTTGCCTGATCCCTTCAGATCACACCTGATCAAAACATCCCCACACCACAAAGTAACTAATGTTGACCAGGACACAGGAAAAACTCCCTTGTCCTTTCCAATAGTCATGGGATCTTTAACATCCACCTGAAAAACAGGTAAGCTTAACATCTTACCCAAAGCACACAACTCAATGCAAGGCTCTCATTAGAGCTAAGACCTTCATCCCAGGGCTCTTCTTTGACTGTACCTATAGTTACTCTTCCCAGCTTGGTGTCAAGCTCTGCCACTGTTAAGTGTTCCAAGATGTTATCCAGTGTGAATAAATGCAAGTAGTTGTTGAGTTGTAGTTCCGCTTCTTAGTTAGAAAGCCCCACATTGGGACATGAGCTCACAGGCTAGAGTGGTGGGGGAGGGAGCGCTGCATTATCCAACAAAACCTTGAACCAAAGTCCCCTCTACCTTTTGATTGGGTAGTAAAGATTCCATGACACTATTTCTCTTGACCGCATCCTCCTGAAACATTGGTCATTCACCCCACAGCTGTTCGTACAAACTTTCTGGCACTAATGGCAACAAAAACAGTCCCTACACTTACCAGTGATTAATTGTGAGACAATCTGAGACATAAGGTGCGATTAAAAAAAGAAACCAGTTGTTTCTCTCTAGTTGATGAGGAATTTCTGTCCTTCTTTCCCAGGGTGAAGCGAGTTCTCCGCAGTTTCCATTCACAGTTACCAGTTCTGTCAGACAGTGAGAAAAACATGAAGAAAGAGATTCGGATCGTTCACGACCAGCTCAAGCACCTGGAGAACAACATCAAACAGGTGCTGGCAGGCTTCTCAATTAAACATGGTGTTCTCTGTTAAACATGATGCTGACTGGCAGCAAAACTCACTGCTACCTTGGCCAAGCAAATGTAAACCATTGTGAATGTTGACGGCTATTGTCACCGAGCCCAGCAGAGAATAGTGATTAGGAGCAGGAAACCTGTGGTTTTTGTTGTCCTCTCCTCCCCTGGCTTCTGTCATTGAGCAGTGTTGTCACGGTAATACTGGTGTTTGTTAGTGTTGTGCTAGTTTGGGTTTCCAACCGTAGGACGTTGTACACTGGGGTTGAAAGGCAACCAGAGTTGATTCACCACCTGGGATGAAGGGCTCAGCTCTGATGAGAGCCTTGCATTGAGTTGTGTGCTTCGGGTAAGATGTTAAGCTTACCTGTTTTTCAGGTGGATGTTAAAGATCCCTTGATGCTATTGGAAAGGACGAGGGAGTTTTTCCCCTGTGTCCTGGTCAACATTAGTTACTTTCTGGTGTGGGGATGTTTTGATGGAATAAGATGCTATAAAGGTCTTTTCTCTATTTTGGCTTTCAGTGGAGTCTGTCACACAAGCCCAGAGAATCTGTTCGCAATGACCTGATGATCCCCATGTAGAGCTGGAACAGGACTAAAGCTTTTTGCTTTTCTTGCCTTGTTCCTTCAGGTGCAGATGAAGACTGAATACCAGCAGCGGGAAATCCAGCAAGGAGCAAGCCCACGGAGAAGGAGCATTACATTGAGTGCTTCCCAGAAGAAATGCATCCACTCAGTGTTAAAGGAGGAGTACGTATTGAATCAGCCTTTTACTTAGTGGGGAGGCTCCACAGGTTACTACTGGCAGTGGCTACAGAGGCTGCCTCTCACTCTGTCCCACTCCCTGACTGAAGGCGGAAATGTGTTGGAGATGCTACCCTGCGGGAAAGGTGCTATATAAATGCAAGTTGTTGCTCCTATCGGGGATTATCTGATGAGTAAAGGGAATCGGAATGTTCACAGTGGGAGGTAACATTCCTGGTGCTGGTGCTCACGAGAGTCACGGAGCTCTCTAACCCCAATCCCCTGTTCTTTCCTTATTGCGTCTTTTTATGATGTTACACAAATAAAGTCAGAAGCATTACTTTTCTTGCAATATCCCTTCACAGGTGGGTAGGAAAGGAATGGTAAATATAATAGGTCATGTCTGCTGAAAATTATTTGCAAGTTACTACATTTTGATTGATTATTTGGATTTTCACTGAAACCTTTTTTCTTTCTCTCTCGCACAGGAGCGAGCAAATCGCTGAAATGGTGAAGAGGATGAATGACATCCGGCTCCACGTAAACTTTTGAAGTTCACCCACTCTCTCCAGCAAGTGCCCATTGTTGTACAGTGCAAGGAGATGTGTGCAGCCTGGCCACTCCCTCACCCAGGGAGTTTACCACAACAACCAAAGCTACTCTTGTTTTCTAACAACGCCAATGTGAATCCATCCATTTGTTTGTAATAAAAGTCTCTTTTCAAACTGGAAAGAGTTTCATTATGGGTGCAATTCCACCAGGTGGACGTAAAGACCCCAGTTATACAGTATATGTCATTCACTTCTGGTTTTGCAAAGTTCAGGATTACTAAACATGCTTTTCATTAATAGATGTGATGCTTTGCCAGCAAGAAAGTGGGGTGGTGAAAGTCTCCCACCTCATATGAACTGTTGAAAACTCCATTGACTGCAAGTTATGAAAAAGCCTCTCTGGACTGTGGGATTCTTAGCACGCAAACACTCATTAGTATTAAGAATTTCTGTACTGGATGCACTGCTCTGAGATCAGCTTCAGCTCCCAATTCTCTGATCCCTCTCGGGGAAGAGCCTGAGCTCAGACTGTGCCAGTCTCTGTTCTGTTGCTCCATGCAGGAGTTTTTAGCCTTTTTAAGAGTCTGTTACTTATACAGTATGTTAAACTGCTCTCCAAAGCCCATTGGGAAAAGTGCATGGTGAGGTTGTCTTTTCAAGTCCTCTGAACACTTTCTTTTCCCATATTCTCTCCCCTCCCTGAAGTTGCTTTGTTTTAAATTCTCTCGTTCTGCTGTCTGTCACCTATCAGGTATTCAGTATACAACGGAGCTCCTGTAAGTTAGTCTTTGAAGTACTTCAATCAGAGGCGGTTTGTTTTGAAAGCATAATTTTTTATTTCATTCACTCTGGGGACTAGGCTTGGTTCTTGACAACCTGTACCTAAACTCTCCAGGCTTAGGTAAACATGTAACCTCTGGTGAGATAGTGTGCTCTCCATGTCAGACAGAGACTATATGTGGAACTCAGTACTTTGGGTTGGAGACGTTGAGTATGATGATAAGGTTTCTGCCCGGATGATCAGATACCATTACCGAGCAATGTTGAAAAGCAATGTTTGATGTGTGTATGGGTCGGTTCCCACATTAAGAAGAGAGGGGAAGTGTTCTCTGTAATTACAGAATTCTGTTTCAAAGCTATAATGATGTTCAGGGAAAATAAAGCAAATGTTATAACTTTTAAAAGAGATACTGCACCCGGTGACCAGCGAAGCCCGTTTTTCTACTTTAAAAAAAAGTCTATACATTTGTAAGTATCTTTTTGTGAACTTATTTTGCTGTATTTTGTAGTCAATAAATACTGACACTGACTGCCCCCCTCCCCCCCCTCGTCTTTGTGCAGCTGCCAGACATAGATGGTTCTCACTGGCCAATCACAGGCTCCCGGGGCGCTGGCCAATCACAGGCTCCCGGGGCGCTGGCCAATCACAGCCTACCGGGGCACTGGCCAATCACAGGCTCCCGTGGCGCTGACCAATCACAGGCTGTAGTGACGCTCACCAATGCGCGGGCCGGGCGGGTGGCGGTTGGGATTTAAAAGGAGCTGCGTGCGCAGAGCAGCCGAGAACAGGGATGAGCGCCAAAGAGAACCTGGAGCCGCCGCGTCTGCGCCACGACAAACGGGTACGGTACCGGGAGAGGGGCCGGGACCTGGCGGGGAGGCCGAGGGCGCGGGGCTCGGAACCTGCGGCCCGGGAGGGAGAGGGCGTGGGGCCCGCGGTGGGGAGGCGGCCCGGACCCCGGAGCAAAACCTGAGAGCACAGAAGGAGGCCATTCGGCCCATTGTACTGTTACCCCAACCGACCCCACTCCCCCCCAACCGACCCACTCCCCCCCCAACCGACCCCACTCCCCCCCACACCACCGACCCCACTCCCCCCAACCGACCCCACTCCCCCCCAACCGACCCCACTCCCCCCCCACCGACCCCACTCCCCCCCAACCGACCCCACTCCCCCCCCCAACCGACCCCACTCCCCCCCACCGACCCCACTCCCCCCCCAACCGACCCCACTCCCCCCCCCAACCGACCCCACTCCCCCCCCCAACCGACCCCACTCCCCCCCCAACCGACCCCACTCCCCCCCCCAACCGACCGACCACTCCCCCCCCAACCGACCCCACCCCCCCCCAACCGACCCCTCCCCCCCCCAACCGACCCCACTCCCCCCCCAACCGACCCCCCCCCCCCCCCAACCGACCCCACTCCCCCCCCCAACCGACCCCACTCCCCCCCCCAACCGACCCCACTCCCCCCCCCAACCGACCCCACTCCCCCCCCAACCGACCCCACTCCCCCCCCCCCAACCGACCCCACTCCCCCCCCAACCGACCCACTCCCCCCCCCAACCGACCCCACTCCCCCCCCCCAACCGACCCCACTCCCCCCCCAACCGACCCACTCCCCCCCCCAACCGACCCCATCCCCCCCCAACCGACCCACTCCCCCCCCAACCGACCCCACTCCCCCCCCAACCGACCCCACTCCCCCCCCCCAACCGACCCCACTCCCCCCCCAACCGACCCCACTCCCCACAACCGACCCCACTCCCCCCCCCCAACCGACCCCACTCCCCCCCCGACCACCCCCCCCAACACGACCCCACTCCCCCCCCCCCAACCGACCCCACTCCCCCCCCCAACCGACCCACTCCCCCCCCCCAACCGACCCCACTCCCCCCCAACCGACCCCACTCCCCCCCCAACCGACCCCACTCCCCCCCCCCAACCGACCCCACTCCCCCCCCAACCGACCCACTCCCCCCCCAAACCGA